CTGTGTGTTGTTGCATGGTTTGAAATGGAAATGAATGAATTGATAATTATTTTATATTTTATTTCATCTTTAATTCAGACACACAAAAATTCCATCACACAAAAACAAAAACAAATACAATACAATTACTAATTAACGACACATAATTATCGTTGATCAACACTGTAGGCTGTTTTTAAAGAATATTGTTTTAAAGTATTTATATGTCTTCCTACGCTATTTCGGGCCGTATATTATATTGATTGTACTCGTATATAAGATCGAGTATAAAAAAATATTTAGATTATTGAACCATATTTCACCGCACAAACCCAAGATGAACCTTTAAACCAGGACTAAAGAAGCAAATAAGTGAAAATGAAAAATCTTTACATACAACTTACATAAACAAGAACTGTATGAGACGTGGTGACACAGTTGTTTCTCAGCTTCGAATCCCGTTCGGAACAGGGCCTTTCTCAGTGGAGTTTGCATGTTCTCCCTATGTCTGTGTAGGTTTCCTCCAGGTGCTACGGTTTCCCCTAGCACTAAAACATGCGCAGTAGATATGAATGTATTGAGAGAGGGAGTGGCTCTAAAGCAGGCCTTCTTGGACTCCTGTGGAACTGAATGTGTTCTTGATGTCGGCAGGATAAGAGGAACCTGGCGTTCATGCAGGAGCTGCGCTGTCTCTTTGCTCTGATGGTGGGATCCACGCGCCGCTTTGTGGATCCGTCTGCTGCTGTGGAGCTGCTGCGGGACGCCTTCAGGACCAGCGAGGCGCAGCAGGTGGGACTGGGCCCATGCATCCACCCGGGACATGTCCGCTTAGACCTGAAAACACTGAATTATAAGTTTAAAACAGGCTCTTTGTGCGTTTATGTTGAAAAATGCATGGAATGAAATGAGGAACAAGGTCTAACTCATGTGGCTGTAGTTGAAGTTTATTATTGTCGCTTGTTCCATTTTACAGTGTTACAGAACAGTCTATTTACAGTGTTACAGAACAGTCTATTTACAGTGTTACAGAACAGTCTATTTACAGTGTTACAGAACAGTCTATTTACAGTGTTACAGAACAGTCTATTTACAGTGTGACAGAACAGTCTATTTACAGTGTTACAGAACAGTCTATTTACAGTGTTACAGAACAGTCTATTTACAGTGTTACAGAACAGTCTATTTACAGTGTTACAGTCTATTTACAGTGTTACAGAACAGTCTATTTACAGTGTTACAGAACAGTCTATTTACAGTTTTACAGAACAGTCTATGTACAGTGTTACAGAACAGTCTATTTACAGTGTTACAGAACAGTCTATTTACAGTGTTACAGAACAGTCTATTTACAGTGTGACAGAACAGTCTATTTACAGTGTTACAGAACAGTCTATTTACAGTGTTACAGAACAGTCTATTTACAGTGTGACAGAACAGTCTATTTACAGTGTTACAGAACAGTCTATTTACAGTGTGACAGAACAGTCTATTTACAGTGTTACAGAACAGTCTATTTACAGTGTGACAGAACAGTCTATTTACAGTGTTACAGAACAGTCTATTTACAGTGTTACAGAACAGTCTATTTACAGTGTTACAGAACAGTGTATTTACAGTGTTACAGAACAGTGTATTTACAGTGTTACAGTGTTACAGTCTATTTACAGTGTTACAGTGTTACAGAACAGTCTATTTACAGTGTTACAGTCTATTTACAGTGTTACAGTGTTACAGTCTATTTACAGTGTTACAGAACAGTCTATTTACAGTGTTACAGAACAGTCTATTTACAGTGTTACAGAACAGTCTATTTACAGTGCTACAGAACAGTCTATTTACAGTGCTACAGAACAGTCTATTTACAGTGTTACAGGACAGTCTATTTACAGTGTTACAGAACAGTCTATTTACAGTGTTACAGGACAGTCTATTTACAGTGCTACAGAACAGTCTATTTACAGTGCTACAGAACAGTCTATTTACAGTGTTACAGGACAGTCTATTTACAGTGTTACAGAACAGTCTATGTACAGTGTTACAGAACAGTCTATTTACAGTGTTACAGAACAGTCTATTTACAGTGTTACAGAACAGTCTATGTACAGTGTTACAGAACAGTCTATTTACAGTGTTACAGAACAGTCTATTTACAGTGTTACAGAACAGTCTATTTACAGTGTTACAGAACAGTCTATGTACAGTGCTACAGAACAGTCTATTTACAGTGCTACAGAACAGTCTATTTACAGTGCTACAGAACAGTCTATTTACAGTGTTACAGAACAGTCTATTTACAGTGTTACAGAACATTCTATTTACAGTGTTACAGAACAGTCTATTTACAGTGTTACAGAACAGTCTATTTACAGTGTTACAGAACAGTCTATTTACAGTGTTACAGAACAGTCTATTTACAGTGTTACAGAACAGTCTATTTACAGTGTTACAGAACAGTCTATGTACAGTGTTACAGAACAGTCTATTTACAGTGTTACAGAACAGTCTATTTACAGTGTTACAGAACAGTCTGTTTACAGTGCTACAGAACAGTCTATTTACAGTGCTACAGAACAGTCTATGTACAGTGTTACAGAACAGTCTATTTACAGTGTTACAGAACAGTCTGTTTACAGTGTTACAGAACAGTCTATGTACAGTGTTACAGTCTATTTACAGTGTTACAGAACAGTCTATTTACAGTGTTACAGAACATTCTATTTACAGTGTTACAGAACAGTCTATTTACAGTGTTACAGAACAGTCTATTTACAGTGTTACAGAACAGTCTATTTACAGTGTTACAGAACAGTCTATGTACAGTGTTACAGAACAGTCTATGTACAGTGTTACAGAACAGTCTATTTACAGTGTGACAGAACAGTCTGTTTACAGTGTTACAGAACAGTCTATTTACAGTGTTACAGAACAGTCTATTTACAGTGTTACAGAACAGTCTATTTACAGTGTTACAGAACAGTCTATTTACAGTGTTACAGAACAGTCTATTTACAGTGTTACAGAACAGTCTATTTACAGTGTTACAGAACAGTCTATTTACAGTGTTACAGAACATTCTATTTACAGTGCTACAGAACAGTCTATTTACAGTGCTACAGAACAGTCTATTTACAGTGTTACAGAACAGTCTATTTACAGTGTTACAGTCTATTTACAGTGTTACAGAACAGTCTATTTACAGTGCTACAGAACAGTCTATTTACAGTGTTACAGAACAGTCTATTTACAGTGTTACAGAACAGTCTATTTACAGTGTTACAGAACAGTCTATTTACAGTGTTACAGAACAGTCTATTTACAGTGTTACAGAACAGTCTATTTACAGTGTTACAGAACAGTCTATTTACAGTGTTACAGAACAGTCTATGTACAGTGCTACAGAACAGTCTATGTACAGTGTTACAGAACAGTCTATTTACAGTGTTACAGAACAGTCTGTTTACAGTGTTACAGAACAGTCTATGTACAGTGTTACAGTCTATTTACAGTGTTACAGAACAGTCTATTTACAGTGTTACAGAACATTCTATTTACAGTGTTACAGAACAGTCTATTTACAGTGTTACAGTCTATTTACAGTGTTACAGGACAGTCTATTTACAGTGTTACAGAACATTCTATTTACAGTGTTACAGAACAGTCTATTTACAGTGTTACAGAACAGTCTATTTACAGTGTTACAGAACAGTCTATTTACAGTGTTACAGAACAGTCTATGTACAGTGTTACAGAACAGTCTATGTACAGTGTTACAGAACAGTCTATTTACAGTGTGACAGAACAGTCTGTTTACAGTGTTACAGAACAGTCTATTTACAGTGTTACAGAACAGTCTATTTACAGTGTTACAGAACAGTCTATTTACAGTGTTACAGAACAGTCTATTTACAGTGTTACAGAACAGTCTATTTACAGTGTTACAGAACAGTCTATTTACAGTGTTACAGAACAGTCTATTTACAGTGTTACAGAACATTCTATTTACAGTGCTACAGAACAGTCTATTTACAGTGCTACAGAACAGTCTATTTACAGTGTTACAGAACAGTCTATTTACAGTGTTACAGTCTATTTACAGTGTTACAGAACAGTCTATTTACAGTGCTACAGAACAGTCTATTTACAGTGTTACAGAACAGTCTATTTACAGTGTTACAGAACAGTCTATTTACAGTGTTACAGAACAGTCTATTTACAGTGTTACAGAACAGTCTATTTACAGTGTTACAGAACAGTCTATTTACAGTGTTACAGAACAGTCTATTTACAGTGTTACAGAACAGTCTATGTACAGTGTTACAGAACAGTCTATGTACAGTGTTACAGTCTATTTACAGTGTTACAGAACAGTCTATTTACAGTGCTACAGAACAGTCTATTTACAGTGTTACAGAACAGTCTATTTACAGTGTTACAGAACAGTCTATTTACAGTGTTACAGAACAGTCTATTTACAGTGTTACAGAACAGTCTATTTACAGTGTTACAGAACAGTCTATTTACAGTGTTACAGAACAGTCTATTTACAGTGTTACAGAACAGTCTATTTACAGTGTGACAGAACAGTCTATTTACAGTGTTACAGAACAGTCTATGTACAGTGTTACAGAACAGTCTATTTACAGTGTTACAGAACAGTCTATTTACAGTGTTACAGAACAGTCTATTTACAGTGTTACAGAACAGTCTATTTACAGTGTTACAGAACAGTCTATGTACAGTGTTACAGAACAGTCTATTTACAGTGTTACAGAACAGTCTATTTACAGTGTTACAGAACAGTCTGTTTACAGTGCTACAGAACAGTCTATTTACAGTGCTACAGAACAGTCTATGTACAGTGTTACAGAACAGTCTATTTACAGTGTTACAGAACAGTCTGTTTACAGTGTTACAGAACAGTCTATGTACAGTGTTACAGTCTATTTACAGTGTTACAGAACAGTCTATTTACAGTGTTACAGAACATTCTATTTACAGTGTTACAGAACAGTCTATTTACAGTGTTACAGAACAGTCTATTTACAGTGTTACAGAACAGTCTATTTACAGTGTTACAGAACAGTCTATGTACAGTGTTACAGAACAGTCTATGTACAGTGTTACAGAACAGTCTATTTACAGTGTGACAGAACAGTCTGTTTACAGTGTTACAGAACAGTCTATTTACAGTGTTACAGAACAGTCTATTTACAGTGTTACAGAACAGTCTATTTACAGTGTTACAGAACAGTCTATTTACAGTGTTACAGAACAGTCTATTTACAGTGTTACAGAACAGTCTATTTACAGTGTTACAGAACAGTCTATTTACAGTGTTACAGAACATTCTATTTACAGTGCTACAGAACAGTCTATTTACAGTGCTACAGAACAGTCTATTTACAGTGTTACAGAACAGTCTATTTACAGTGTTACAGTCTATTTACAGTGTTACAGAACAGTCTATTTACAGTGCTACAGAACAGTCTATTTACAGTGTTACAGAACAGTCTATTTACAGTGTTACAGAACAGTCTATTTACAGTGTTACAGAACAGTCTATTTACAGTGTTACAGAACAGTCTATTTACAGTGTTACAGAACAGTCTATTTACAGTGTTACAGAACAGTCTATTTACAGTGTTACAGAACAGTCTATGTACAGTGTTACAGAACAGTCTATGTACAGTGTTACAGAACAGTCTATGTACAGTGTTACAGAACAGTCTATTTACAGTGTTACAGAACAGTCTATTTACAGTGTGACAGAACAGTCTATTTACAGTGTTACAGAACAGTCTATGTACAGTGTTACAGAACAGTCTATTTACAGTGTTACAGAACAGTCTATTTACAGTGTTACAGAACAGTCTGTTTACAGTGTTACAGAACAGTCTATGTACAGTGTTACAGTCTATTTACAGTGTTACAGAACATTCTATTTACAGTGTTACAGAACAGTCTATTTACAGTGTTACAGTCTATTTACAGTGTTACAGAACAGTCTATTTACAGTGTTACAGAACAGTCTATTTACAGTTTTACAGAACAGTCTATTTACAGTGTTACAGTCTATTTACAGTGTTACAGTCTATTTACAGTGTTACAGAACAGTCTATTTACAGTGTTACAGAACAGTCTGTTTACAGTGTTACAGAACAGTCTATTTACAGTGTTACAGAACAGTCTGTTTACAGTGTTACAGAACAGTCTATTTACAGTGTTACAGAACAGTCTGTTTACAGTGTTACAGAACAGTCTATTTACAGCAGAAAGACAGACCTGAAATGAGCCGGCTGAAGCTTGTTTATTTTGCCTACCCTTTTAGTAAACAGTACATTGTTGCAGTATCCTTATTATATACCAGTGCAATATCCCTATCTTATTATACGGCTCCTCACAGCAGCAGTAGAACGCTCCATTGATTTGAATGTAATTTCAAAACGTTCTACCGGTCATTATTTTCTATAACGGACCTCTCAAAACAATAATGACCGCTGCCCTTTGGCAACGCACTCTCTGCTTGTCTTTCAAATGCGTGGATAACTCCGCAAGTAGTTCCGGCCACTCCGGAACGCTCAACCAACACACTTAAATGTTAATCGGAGAATACTTATACATATACATTCTTCACACACGTGCACGGACATTTTCAGAATTTTCTGGTCTTGTCTTCATGACAAAAAAACTATTTCTCTGCGTCAAAAAGCGATCGTGAAAAACCCGGAAGTAGTTCCGGCCGCTCAATAAACGCAAATGCCAATCAATCAACGCAATGAAATGTTTATCGTAGAGTAATTTATACATATCCAGTCTTAATACAAGTGCACGGAAGTTTTCAGAATTTTCCGTTTACGTTTTCATGACAAAAACACTGATGTAATGCGAGAAAAGGCGATCCCGAAAAACCCGGAAGTAGATACCGGCACATTTTAAGATACCGGCACATTTTAAGATACCGGCACATTTTAAGATACCGGCACATTTTCGGACACATTTGCAGAGGATCGAATTATGGATTTAGGTTAAGTTTATGTTTGGGTCACTCACCGCTGTTGTTCAGGATTCTTTGTTCAGTTTTCATGCAGTTCCAGAGAGTTCTAGTTTGGAAGTTGCCAGCCTAACTGTTGCCCGCGGTTGCCGAGCAACGGGAAAACTTTTTGGGACTACTTTATTTGTTGTCATTAAATAAACTTTTGGCATTCATAAAAGTGATCTGAAGTTTATTTTGTGTGTTAAGTTGGTACAAAGCAGTATAATAAGCGGGATAATGTATATCTATCTGTAATCTATACATTATCCCTTACTTATACCTGAATCTGCGATATACAGCTGCTAATGTACAGATGCTAACATACAGCTGCTAATGTACAGATGCTAACATACAGTAATGTACAGATGCTAACATACAGCTGCTAATGTACAGATGCTAACATACAGCTGCTAATGTACAAATGCTAATATACAGCTGCTAATGTACAAATGCTAACATACAGCTGCTAATGTACAGATGCTAACACAGCTGCTAATGTACAGATGCTAACATACAGCTGCTAATGTACAGATGCTAACATACAGCTGCTAATGTACAGATGCTAACATACAGCTGCTAATGTACAGATGCTAACATACAGCTGCTAATGTACAGATGCTAACATACAGCTGCTAATGTACAGATGCTAACATACAGCTGCTAATGTACAGATGCTAACATACAGATGCTAATGTACAGATGCTAACATACAGCTGCTAATGTACAGATGCTAACATATAACCACACTTTACTTGCACTAGAATACACAGTACTTTATATATAATTTTCAAGATAGAGTTGTTATACTTATTATAGATGCTTGAGTTAGAGATTTTGTTTTGTTTTAATTAGTACAGCTGCTGTTCAGGAAACGTGTGCTCCTCTTTCCTTCTGTTCTGTAACTTGTGATGCAACACTGACATTTCCCCACCGTGGGACGAACAAAGGATCTCTTCATCTTAATCTTAATTAGTATAAGTGAATGTATACAAAAGGATTTACATAAGCAGCTGTATAAACATCAACATTCTGAGTTCAAGTAGCCGTTCAAAATGATACTCTGAAACTTAGAAAATAAACTTTAAAGTGGAAAAGTGGGTTACATGATTTAAGTTAATCAACCCCTCCGACAGATAAGCTACGTTTCCTCTCAAAGAAACTGTTCACAGAGACAGTCATTATGAGTTAACGCTTTTTACTGGAAGCTATTGTTTATCTTAAACATTCAAATCAAAGTGTAAAGATCAACTAAATCATAGAATATTAATGGCACATCTGATGAGGCACAAAACAAAACAACACAGACTCAGAAGAGACGGGCCCAAAACGTCTCCGACCCTACACCTGTCACCCATAAAGAATAAAGCGGAGATGACTTATCTCTGGGCTGTTTCAAACATGTGTATCTTTAACATTGCTGGCCTTTCCTTTCTGCTGCTGTCAGACTGTACGATGAGAACTGTCTGTACATGGCTCTCATCTGTAAATAGTAAATACTGTAATTTCCGAATGTCACTGTATCTATGACTATAAAGCATTTCTAGCTATTTAACCTCTTGAAGGTTTCTTCTATCTACTCCATCCCTTTATTTTATACATTTTTACCATTAAGCTAGAGCAAAACTAAGGGGTAATCAAATGGAAAAAAACACATTATTTTTGTTATTACTGTTTCTACATCTTAGAAAATGCCCCTAAAAATAACATGACTTTCTTTATCTCATTGACTGCCAGCCCGTTTTGACGATTTAACTGATTTTTAAGACCCACAGAATATTGTGTATTAAGACTCTACAAACTATGAAACCAGATTCTGAAAGACTGTATTGTCCAGTTTCATCAGCAAAAAATAAGTTGTTTTCAAGCTAGTTTTGTTCTTATTGACTGCCATTGACGTATTTATCCAATACCGGTGATTTTTGTTAAACTTCACTCTCTTCAACTGGGGATTACTTAAGAACAAAACTAGCTAGAAACCAACTTATTTTTGCTGATGAAAGTAGACAGTCCAGTCTTTCAGAATCTGGTTTCATATTTCACATAGTCACAGCACACAATATTCTGTGGGTCTTGAGAATCAGTGAAATCATCAAAAACGGCTGGCAGTCAATGAGTTAAGGAGTGAGCATTACAGGGTCAAGAAGCATTTACAGAAACTTACCATTGTATAATTTGTGTCCTGTATGTGCACTGCAACACTGAAATGTCCCCAGTGTGGGCTTAATAAAAGTTCTCTTACATGATGTTCTGTTCAGGATGTGAGTGAGTTCACCCACAAGCTGCTGGACTGGCTCGAGGACGCCTTCCAACTGGCTGCAAATGGAAAGTAAGACATCCCAGCACATGGTTCATTTATCCTGTGTGTGCGCCTCATTCCTACTGCTCTGTAACTGGTGATGCAACACTGACATTTCTCCACTGTGCGACAAATAAAGCCTCTCTTAATCTTTTGTAAATACATCTCATTGTTCCGGAAAAGGGAGGAAAAGGACAAACTGAAGAACCCCATGGTCCAGCTTTTCTACGGCACTTTTGTCACAGAGCGCATGCACGAAGGCAAGTATATCCTTACTGTCATTGTTATTATTAGTATTTATTATACAGCTCCTCACAGCAGCAGGAGAACGCTCCATTGATTTGAATGTAATTTCAAAACGTTCTACCGGTCATTATTTTCTATAATGGACCTCTCAAAACAATAATGACCGCTGCCCTTTGGCAACGCACTCTCTGCTTGTCTTTCAAATGCGTGGATAACTCCGCAAGTAGTTCCGGCCACTCCGGAACGCTCAACCAACACACTTAAATGTTAATCGGAGAATACTTATACATATACATTCTTCACACACGTGCACGGACATTTTCAGAATTTTCTGGTCTTGTCTTCATGACAAAAATACTATTTCTCTGCGTCAAAAAGCGATCGTGAAAAATCCGGAAGTAGTTTTGGCCGCTCAATAAACGCAAATGCCAATCAATCAACGCAATGAAATGTTAATGGGAGAGTAATTTATACATATCCAGTCTTAATACAAGTGCACGGAAGTTTTCAGAATTTTCCGTTTACGTTTTCATGACAAAAACACTGATGTAATGCGAGAAAAGGCGATCCCGAAAAACCCGGAAGTAGATACCGGCACATTTTAAGATACCGGCACATTTTAGGAACATTTGCAGAGGATTGAATTATGGATTTAGGTTAGGTTTATGTTTGGGTCACTCACCGCTGATGTTCAGAATTCTTTTTTCAGTTTTCATGCAGTTCCAGAGAGTTCTAGTTTGGAAGTTGTTAGCCTAACTGTTGCTAGCATAGCCACGGGAAAGCCTTTGGGAACTATTTTATTTTCTGGCATTAAATAAACCTTTCGGCATTTCTAAAAGTGGACTGAAGTTTATGTTGTGTGTTCTGTTGGTATAAAGCCGTGTAATAAGCGGGATAACGTATATTATAAAAGAAGTACCTCCAGGGCAGAAGCAGACCCCTCCTATGCGTCGGGGTCCGCTTCGCCCTGTCGGTACTTATTTTCCGATAATGACCTGCGTAATATACGTTATCCCTTACCTACTGTTCGACTTTGACCCATGAATGTCTCTCCTCACTCCAGGTAAGACTCTGTGCAACATGGAGCAGTTTGGCCAGTATCCGCTGCAGGTCAACGGCTTCAACAACCTGGACGAGTGCTTGGAGGGCGCCATGGTGGAGAAGGAGATCGAGTCGCTGCATTCCGACCACTGCATCACGTCCGGGCGAGAGGTAACGTCCCGCGCCTCCTCTGATGGAGATGAAAAAGATGGCGTTTTAACAGACCTTCGTTGGGTTACACAGAGGTGGTTCAAAACGTTGCCGCCGGTGTTGACGTTCGAGCTCTCCAGATTCGAGTTCAACACACAGTTGGGACGTCCCGAGAAGATTCACAAGAAACTGGAGTTCCCGCAAATTATTTACATGGACAGGTGACTACAGATTTATTTGTTAATCCATAAACTGCTTATTAAAGAACACGTATACTGCTTTGTTTATTTATTTTGTTCAGTAAAAAATAAACGGATGATGTATAGAGGATAGATAAAAGTAGTGAAACCCCTTTTTTTATGTTGAGCGTCTGAGATTCCTCTGCGTAGTTGAAAGAATGCAGCTGAAAAGAGCAACATTAGAGAAGTTTTCAAAAGCACTCATTTTCTTTTAAACGTCTGCAGATATCTTCACAGAAATATTCAGCTGACGCATGAAAGGAGGAGTACGGTCAAGAAGCTGAAGGAACAACTTGCAGTCCTTCAACAGAAATACGAGTGGTGAGAAGATTAAACATTTGTATTCAGTGAATTCAAACAGATCAAAGACAGAAGCACATTTTTTGTATTTCACTTTGTTCACTGTGATGATCTACGGCTCCTGATGTCACAGCTGCCCCGGGGCACACTGACAGAAGCGAGGGGAATTTTGGGTTGACGAGCGTCTTTTAATTTTGTGTTGATGACTGTTTGCCGCGCCGTGAACAAGGTCCAGCTGCTGGAACAGACGTCAAATAAAACCAACTCCACAGAGCAGCACATTTTCCTGTTTACGAGACGAGCCACAGCAGTTTGTCCAGTTACAGAACAACATGGAGCCCACAGAGCGGTTCCGACAGAGTGTTGGCTGGAGTCTGTTAGAGCCAGAAGTCTGAACTGATGCTACATACAGTCCGGCTCCACACACACCTACTCCAGCTCCTCCGTGGGTAATGCCATGTGTGTCCTGGGCCTTCCCTCGGTCTCCTGCCAGTCTCCTGATGAGGAGGAGCAGTGACTCTACTCAAAGCGTCTCCCGTTTGACCTTCTGACATCTCCAAGAGAGCGCTCAGCCACATGTGACCTCTTGTTATTACCCTAAGTTCATGACCGTATGTGAGGGTGGGACTGTAGATTGACCAGTAGTTCAAAGGTTTCCCCTTTCCCCCTCGGGTTCCTCTTTTAGCTTGAGGTAGAAATGATCTGTTCATAAATTACATTTGAAGGCTTTATATACGTTATTTATGGATGTTTATTTTTACCCAGCTACAAAAACTATGGCTCTGGTCCGACCAAGTACCCGCTGACGGACATGCTGCAGTTCGTTCTGGAGTTTGCCACCACAAAGCCCTCGAGTGTGTCCCCGACCGAGGATCTGAGAGCAGCTGCCTCCTCCCCCACCCCGCCCCACCCCCTGAGTGACAGCCTGGGGCCTAAAGACAGGTGGGTCCTACAGGCAGCAGGCTCAAGCTGTCATAACAACAACTGACTGGCTTTTACCGCACTCCTGCCCTCATCAAAAATCTTAAGTGACTTGTTTATTTTCTACATCACAAGAATCAAAACCTTTTTAAAGTAAAAAAGTAGATAGAATCAGTCATATGCACGACTGGACAGAACCTTCTGGATTTAAACATTACTAGAGCAGAAGTTGTAATCATGAGTCGTTACCCTTCTCCTGTCTCCGCCCCCCTTCTCCTGTCTCCGCCCCCCTTCTCCTGTCTCCGCCCCCTTCTCCTGTCTCCGCCCCCCTTCTCCTGTCTCCGCCCCCCTTCTCCTGTCTCCGCCCCCTTCTCCTGTCTCCGCCCCCCTTCTCCTGTCTCCGCCCCCCTTCTCCTGTCTCCGCCCCCCTTCTCCTGTCTCCGCCCCCTTCTTCAAACTGTGAATTGTATATACACTGTAAACCCGAACTAGTTATCATTACTAAAGCCGTTTTGGGTAACCGATTGCAACAAAGATTTTAAGTTTTTACAAAATCAAAAACTTAAAGCTTTATGTTAACGCAGAATCTTTAGTTATTGCAGAACGATCACAGATTAACTCTAGTACTGATTACCAGTTTATTTAGCTTTAGCACAGCATTACTCAGAATCTAATGCCATCATCACTAAACTGACATTGATTATAATCATTTCATTACTTAATTACTAGCATATTTATTACCTAATGTTTTATATATTTTGTAACGTATTGTATTAATCGAAAAATAATGAAACAAATGGATGTTTCATGTATTTTTATTGAAAGACAGATATTTGAAACCAATTAGCAGGAGAAGAGACCAGCACTGTTCATATACAGACGTGAGACACCTGTCCAAACAAACACATGTTCAGTAAAATTACATCACAAATAATATATTTGACAACAAAAGTGAAGCTTTTTTCTGCTCTTAATGAACAAAATTTACAAAGTCATAATATCTCATGTATTAAACAATCAAAACTGAAATACTTACGTTATGTAAAACTAGTCTCCGCTGCACATCCTAAATTCTGCCCCTGGCCCTGTGTCTGAGGAAATACACTTTGGTTATTGTTACAGTCAATGCTAAACACACTTTGGTTATTGTTACAGTCAATGCTAAACACACCTAAAACCACCAGAACATTTGAGGGAGAATCACAGCTCTTACCTGAATATCCTCCATCTTCAGTCAACAGATGAAAACATTAGGAAACAATAAATTAATGTGCTGCGATCAGCTCTGGCACCTGGAAAAGATAACACAGTGTTATTTTGTCAGTTATATGTGAATTATGGTGTGTTTTGAGCTAACTGTCAAGTGAAATCAGCTGTACAAGCTAACTGGCTAACAGAAGCTGGTTGTACTTTGAAGCAAACTTTCATTGCAAAGTTAAAATACTGGGATTGGTAGAACCTCTAGTTGCTCAGTAGCTTGGATTAGTGAATAATATGCAGTGAAAAACATGTTATTGGACTTACCACAGGAGGAGACAGTTGGTTTTGCTGGAGCCTGGAGACTGTGGCGGTTAAGCCCCGCCCCCCACATGTAAGCCCCGCCCCCTCACCTGTAAGAACCTAACATGTTCTGCTGTGAGAGCACAGAGCTCTGAGTAAAACAGCTGCAGTACATTCAAAATGCAGCAGCTCGAGTCCTGACAAGAACCAGGAAGTACGACCATATTAGTCCGGTCCTCAGGTCTCTGCACTGGCTTCCTGTGGCTCAGAGAATAGACTTTAAAACAGCTCTGCTTGTTACAAGTCTCTCCATGGCCTCGCACCAAAATATATTAGTGACATGTTAGTCCCATATGAACCAGCCCGGACTCTGAGGAGCACAGGGACTGGACTCCTGCTGGGACTCTGAGGAGCACAGGGACTGGACTCCTGCTGGGACTCTGAGGAGCACAGGGACTGGACTCCTGCTGGGACTCTGAGGAGCACAGGGACTGGACTCCTGTTAGTGCCCAGAGTCAGAACTAAACATGGGGAGGCTGCTTTTCAGATTCATGCTGCTAAAATCTGGAACAGTCTTCCTGAAGATGTGAGACAGGCCTCCTCTCTGACAATGTTTAAGACAAGGTTGAAAACAGTTCTGTTTAGCTGTGCTACAACTGAGGGATTTTATATTTTTATCTTTTTTTAATGTACTGTGATTATTTATGATTTTAATGCTTTCTTGTTCTGTTCAGCACTTTGAATTGCCTTGTGTATGAATTGTGCTATATAAATAAACTTGCCTTGCCTTGCCTTGAGTGCAGTCAGGACTGGGATTTACATGTAAATACAGCACAGCTTCTTTAGTTCTCCATGGAGATTTGTTAAAACTAGTTATTTTTAGTAATTATTAATAAATACAAATAAGCTGAAAAAATAAGGGGTTTACAGTGTATAATCTACAGTCATTTATACTAGTCACTTTATTGTGTATGACTTTACACTAAATAAAATATCTCTTATACTTATCTCACTCTTATATCATCTCTTTAAATCTCTTACTTATCTTAATAAAAAAGAAGAAAGTATAGAGCAACCAACCTCTTTAAAGCTACTTTTATACAACAGAAGAGGCAGAGTGCTACTCATTTTTTTTGCAGTCGTAATAAAGCTCTATGCAATAATTAGTCATCTGGGTGGCACGGTGGCTGAGTGGAATCCTGGCCTTTCTGAGTGGAGTTTGCATGTTCTCCCCGTGTCTGCGCAGGTATCCTCCGGGTGCTCCGGTTTCCCCTACCACTAAAAACATGTACAATAGGTCTGAATGTAAAGGAGTGAGTGAATGGATGGTGTTGATTGGGGCTTTGAATGGAATGGAACAATATCTGAACTCTGAAGTGCTTTGGGTGACCTTGGTCTATATATATATACACATTACTTACTTACTAATTAAGACAAGATAGAAAACATATTGAAAGCACATGTGAAAACCTTATATTTATTTTTATAATAGAAATGTAGGGACTCTAAATGTATTCAAATTCTAAATCCTTTGGGGAGCTACTTGAAAGGGTCTGACGAACTACTGGTAGCTCCTGAGCCACAGACCCCTGCTATAGAGTTATCGTTCATTAATCTTGTGTTGTGCTCCTCATTCTGCCTCTTCTGTGGCTGGTGATGCAACACTGAAATTTCCCCACTGTGGGACGAATATAGAATCTCTTAATCTCAATCTTAATCTGAACTGGAGGGTTTTGTGCAGTGACCCGGACGAGGCGTGTGAGAGCCTGGGCGACGGTGTGTCCTCGTGCCAAAGAACACCCATCTACAAGCCCTTCACGCAGTGCAGACCCCCCGTGGAGTGCCCCCCTCACCCGGCCCCCCACAGCGTCACCGAGGAGGAGCTGTTCCACGTCAAGAACTGCCTGCAGCGCTGGAGGACGGAGGCCGACAACGACATCAACGGTGCGCACCCAGAGAGAACGTTATCAGTTATTATTATACACACACACACACACAGGCCCAAACACTCTCTGACCCTACACCTCTCTCCTTCTACTCACTCTATCCTGAAGGCATCACTCTTTTCCCAATGTTCTTCTTCAGTGAGGCAAGTTTATTTGTACATCACAGTTCACACACAAGGCAATTCCAAGTGCCAACAAGAAAAAAAAAAAGTTAAAATCCGGCAATAAAATTATAACAGAATAAAATAATAACAGATTTGATAATAATAATAATGCATTGGTTTCACATGTCATTATTCTTTCACCCCATACACTGTGGTGACAAACTACTGCGATAGCCACAGCTGCCCTGGGGCACACTGACAGAAGCGAGGCAACCAGACTTGAATGCATTCAGGTTCAAACATGTTTTTAGACATGCAGGGCATCCTGGGTAACTCCAGACACCCTCTGCATGACACTATGGCCGCTCAGAGGAGTAACCATAGCAACAGGCTCCTATCACTGCGCTGCTGAACGGAACGTTTCAAGAGATCCTTTGTTCCTTCGGCTGTCAGACTGTACAACAAACCTGGATGAGTCTTCTGCTGCTGGACATTTGAATTTCTCCTACTGGGATCAATAAAGTATCTATCGATCTAGATCTTATGTTAATCCGTTCCACACACTGAGATACATTTATTTCGAAGTCGTTATTAATCCAGACACTTTTTGTTTCCTGCTTGTATTTATGGTGCATCTCTTGTGTCTGTTTTTTAGAGCTTAAAGCGAGTATTGACCGAGTGTCTCAGGAGCTGGAGCGCATGTACTCTGACACCAGTCTGTGCCAGGTGAGACCTTTAGAAAGTCACTAACTTTATACCTTTGTGATGAAGTTTGGGGCAATAGTTGTTCTGAAACTCTTTATAACTGACTTAAACTTACTACTTTCAAACTTACTCAAATTTAAAGGTGAGTAATCTATCTTTAAAAAATCATTGTTTGTCTTAATAGAAAGAAAGACAAAAAAAAGTTAGATTATGCGAACAAACCAGACAACATTTTATCTTTTGCAAACTGCTGAGAAGGATCATTGTGAGTCACTATTTAATTGACTAGGATAAAAAACTAGTGATAAATGTATTCGTTTTGAGAGAAATTTAGGTTTTTCAGCTTTTTTTTCAGTGCGTCAGATTTGTTTTTTACTATAATAATTTAGGACACGCTGGATGTCTCTCGGCCTGGACAGGGAAGTCTGAGCGTCTCTGCTCAGACTGTGGACCCCGGAAATGGATGAAGCAGAAAAACTGGATGGATGAACAATGTGGGCCATGCTTTAGAGAACATCTTCTCTGGTTTTGGGAATAGGCTTCAGCATTAATGACATTTTTATCATTTTCAAAACTCTAACTTTGATCTAGATTCTGCAATAATACTTGTTTTATACAACAATCCTGTCAGTTGTTTTAGATCAGAGGAGACAGATGCTGTTGTAAAAACCAAAGCGTATCTCCTCACCAGTGGGGGAGGGTCCCGGCTCAAACGTGACCAAAATGACGTGTGCTGACATGCTGCAATACCACCCCGGGCCTGTGGGGGTGGACCCGGAAGAAGAATTAGCCAATGCTAACATATAGCATTGGCAGACCTCTGGAAAACGTCTTTACAGGATGGACCAAAAGTTGGCTCTTGGCCCAAAGCTCCGTTCCACATGTGTGTCAATGCTGAGTGTTCTGGACCAGTCTAGTTTAGTCGCTGTGGACTTTTGAAGTCAATCGTTTAAATGAATGAAGCTGACACATGCGCAGATGCGTTTTTTCACATTTTCCAGCCCCCACGGCCATTTTGAAACTACCAATAGACCGCGGACGTTGTGGCACATTAGTTAGAACGGTGGAGATAGGCGTGACTATGTTAATATTGACAGTCTATGCTCCTCACACAGGTGCCCTACCGGCTCCATGCGGTCCTGGTCCACGAGGGCCAGGCCTCCGCTGGCCACTACTGGGCGTACATCTACGACCACCGCCACCGGCGCTGGATCAAGTACAACGACATCAACGTGAGCGAGTCGTCCTGGGAGGAGCTGGAGAGGGACTCGTTTGGAGGAATGACCAACGCCAGCGCTTATTGCCTCATGTACATCGACGACCGCATGCCTCAGCTCGTCACAGGTTCATGCCCACTCAGCAGTTACATCAGCGCCACGACATTTGTGAGACACGGTCAAAAACACAGATAAAGGCAATGACTTTTATTGAAAGGTTCGCTTTTCTCTATTTTAGTTTTGCCTGGAAGTGTTTATATTATAGCACCAAACCTTCCATTTATGAATTGGAAACAAGGATATGATTTCTATCGGCTCAGTTACATCTGTGGAGAGGCGAGTCTTCCTAAGAATTCAGCTTTAAATGACTAAAAAGACCCATAATTGAAAAAGACACATGTTTTAAACCAAACGAGTGACTTGTGCGATCAACACAGCAAAGGACCAGCAGGTGCTAACCATATCATGTTCACAAGACATGGATTATATATTATTTGTGCCAAAATGCCTGAATGACGCTGCCAGTTCTGCTGTTCACTAGTGTTACTTAAAGGAATAGTTCACCGTTTTTACATACTGACATATGTTCTTACCTTACCTTAGACTAGTTAATACGTACCTGTGTGATCTTAGTCCGTGCGCTCTGTCATGCAAACGGAGCAAAAACGGGAGCACAAATGCAGCCTCCTCTGTATATTTTGTAGCACCAAAAGGTAGCTCCCGCTAGAAGCTACCAAACTCTTCCAAGTGTTCCCTATTAAATGTATATAGTTACGTGACGTGTTACACTGCAAAGTATAGTAACACAGAAATGTAACTGTCGATTTTCTCAGCGGATAAAACGGGTACTATATTGTGAGGCGTAGTAATCTGAGGTGCGCTACGTCCGCGCACTAACTTCTCTCCGGAGACTTCTCTCTCGCTCACTTCCGTCAATAGAAGCAGCGTGACTTGTAGTACAGAGAGAAGTTAGTGCGCGGACGTAGCGCACCTCAGATTACTACGCCTCACAATATAGTACCCGTTTTATCCGCTGAGAAAATCGACAGTTACATTTCTGTGTTACTATACTTTGCAGTGTAACACGTCACGTAACTATATACATTTAATAGGGAACACTTGGAAGAGTTTGGTAGCTTCTAGCGGGAGCTACCTTTTGGTGCTACACAGTGACCAGAGGAGGCTGCATTTGTCCTCCCGTTTTTGCTCCGTTTGCATAACAGAGCGCACGGACTAAGATCACACAGGTACGTATTAACTAGTCTAAGGTAAGGTAAGAACATATGTCAGTATGTAAAAACGGTGAACTATTCCTTTAAGTATATTTGCTTAAAGGAAAAAAACAAATCATCTCGTTGCTAGCTTCCTAATCCTGTTGCCCTGATGTTTCTGGTGATGTTGAATAAAATGGTGGATACAGATATTGACAGATTATCACCATAAAGCAAAGAGAAGCGTGTAAAAACATTTGATTTCATTGTTGTTTAGAAGACACAGACGACGAGACGGGCCAGCCGCTGGTGGGCATGGACTCCCTTCCTTCGGTTCTGCGCCGCTACGTTCACGAGGACAACCGCTGGTTCCAACAGGAGCTGAGCGAGTGGGAGGAGCAGTTCTGCCAGGCCTCCCAGGCAGGCGCCCAGGGCGAGAGCACGGTGACGCTGTGTCCAGAGCCTCCACAGCCACACACGGAGCCACAACAGAAGGCCGAGCAGGAACCAGAGAGCACTGAGGCTGCAGAGGGACCGCAGACTGAGGCCCAGGCCCAAGAGGAGCAGACACATGCTCTGCTTCACCAGGGTAGGACGTCATGGTGGAGCATGTCACTGTCACATGTAGACATTCCTACGGGACGAGATGAGAAAGACTGGGTTCACATGAGACCAGAGACCAGACAAGACTTTGGAGTGAGCAATTATACTATTGTCTGAGTTAAAACTGGGGTTCCTGGTTTTAAAAAAAAATCACAAAAGGCCCCATGTCATAAAATCTATGTAACTTGGTCCTCGCTCTTAAAACCTGCGCGTGTGTTTCTGTGTTTCTGATCTTTGTCGGATGTTTAGAGGTTTTAAAAAGAGAGGACCCGCCTCAGTCAGCCAATCAGCTCACAGTATAAATAACATGGTGTCGTCTGATTTGTTCACAACATTTTACTTTTACAAGACTCTTTTGGTTGGGACAAACAACATGTGTTATTTATGAAGAAAACAAGTTTGAAATCATACTAATTTTCAGCCTTTATTGTTAATCTTTTGTTTGCAATGTTTAACACACACAAAAATATCATATTTGAATATGACATAACTCTGGGTTTGTAAATGACACTTATTTTGAAGGTCTGCCTGTGTGGCATAAGATTTTAGGATGTGCTCCCCCTGCTGGCTCCTCTGATCACTGCAGCTTCTTTTACTGCTCAGAGTTTCTGTTCTGATTCTGTGACATGCAAATGATTCTTCAGTAAGAATTCAACAGATTTTGAATTTGATCAAACTAATACTTTTCTCTAGTACATTTGACCCAGTAAGTACATAGACTGGTTTGAGCTCAGGGTGTACTGCCTACGCTGGAAGTTCCATCACACATGGAAAGAAAGGGGCGAACATGTTTTATTTATGTAACTGCACGTCCTTTAAAGCTGGGGTACGTAACTATTATGTTTCATGAATATTATGTTTATTTTGTCCCAACCGAGGGGAGACTTATACAAGTAAAATGTGAAACAAATCAGACCACAGCTTGCTTTTATCTTATATTAAAAACATATTTCGCATTACAAGAAAGATCCCTGGGAGTCACGATTTGACTCTTTGGGCTGAGAGCTGATTGGCTGAGTGAGGGTGGGGCTCTCTTTGTCACTTTTCTGTCTGAAGAAGCTGATTTGAAGATGTTTCAGAGGCCGATAAATACATGCATGTGAAAACTATTGACAGAATGAATTACCATAGTTCATTATTTTATGGTTTGAAAGTTGGGTACCCCAGCTTTAAATAAACAAACTAGACCCAAACTACTCTTCACGTTAGGACTATACATACTGTTTTGTGTATAACTAGTGAAAATAAGTATCAAACGTGGTTCATCTCTCTCATACATTGAGAGAGATCTGGTAATTAAAATCACTACTTAACGAATCAAACTCATCTTGTGTTTGTGTGACAGAGGCGGCTGCAGACCCCCCCGAGCCCCCCCAGAGCGACACCAGCGCAGCAGAACCATGTGACACTGTGGAGCAGGGCCAAGGCTCCAGCTCGGCCCCCAGAGAAGCTCCCAGAGAAGCTCCCAGCCCGGTGAGCCCTCCCCCCAGCCCCCCCTGCAGACAGATATGGGTCACAAATACCAGGTCGGATAAATAGAGATCGCACATATGGGTCACGGAGCTAATTTTACCGCTTCACATTGTGACAGCGTGTTCTGTGCTGGAGCAAAGGCCACGGTCGAGAGGCTGCTGCCACAGACTGATATCTGGCAGCTTGTAAACACTACTCATGAAGATTAAGGATTGGAAAAAAACATATTACGTATCACATATTTGTCTGTCACTAGTTAATTGATTGATAAAGTTGAGAGATCCTTTTATTGGTCCCACTGTGGGGAAATGTCAGTGTTGCATCAGCGGTGACAGAACAGTAGGAATGAGGAGCACACAGCACAAGATAAATGAATTAATCTCTCGCTTTAGCAGAATAAAAAAGTAACTATATAGATAAAATAGTACGTACTCCAGTGCAAGATTAATCCTTACGAATCGATTATTGATATAGTTGCCAACTTTTGAAATGGTTGGTTTTTGAGACAAAACGTGCATAAAAGTGTTTTTTGATTCCTACAGAGAAAATGTGATAACACAATTACATGACGTGATTTTGCTTTAACCTGGTTTTGGTTTCTGCCATAGATATTTCTTTACCCATATTCTATTCAGTGTCCTGTTCTGTTTTTGGATCAGAGGATGCAGATGTGGATAGTTCCCCTTTCATTGGCTGTAGACACTGCATGATTCTGTCTCACTCCATGATCTTGTACAAATTTAGACATTTATCTTAATACAAAACATTTTATCTTTTGCACATTTTAGAGAAAGTGAAACTATTTGAGGCTTTGGGCTGAGCGCTGATTGGCCGAGTGAGGCTGGTTGTCACTTTTTTACTTTTCTGTCTGGAAGTCCAATAACATGAATGTGACTACTATAGTTACTCTGAAAACAGCTTCCTTCGATCACTACAGTGTTTCAGCTTCAAACAGAACAGTGGAAATGTCTTTCTTGGATGGTTAAATCATTATGGTTCAGGAGACGTGCGTATGGCTTGTCTGTTTTAGACTTCTGAACCCACAGAGGAGACAAAGGAGTCGTCGGAGGACCAGGTGGAGGAGGAGAGCTCGGAGGGGGCCGCCTCTGGACCCTCTGCTGCTGTGGAGCTGCAGGACCAGGACAGTCCAGTGGAAAACCAGGAGCCTCCCGCAGAGCGCCCACAGCCCGAGAACGAAGTGTCCGAGGTGGATATCCCCAATGTGGGCCGCATCATGGTCCGAGCAGACGCCGACGGATACAACGAAGAGGCACGTCTTGTTTTTTGTCATGAAATATCAGACTATGAAAGAAAACGCAAACACATTTTTCATCACTCATCGTTGGTGGAGTGTGCTAAGCCATTTATGTAAAGCAAATGTGTTTTCTGTTTTAAAATGATAATTACCGCAGAAATTCCTCCCCAAACCCAGAAATCTCCATCCCCCAGTCCTCAACAACCTGTATTTCCCCTTTAACATCTATGACAGTTCGGAGTCTTTAGTGGAGTTTGTGGATGAGGTTCTTTCTCCTCTGACTCTGATGGTGAAGCTGCCCACTCTTCTTGGACTCCAGTTCCTGTACATTCCTGGACCGCCTTGTATTATACTGCACTTCCATCATCATCATCATTTGAAAAGAGAAAACATGTTTATTATTCAGAATACGGCTTCACACAATCTGTCTTTGTGTTATCATTCATAATATCTGTTTGAGACTTGGTATTAGTCCTGATAGAATCTGTCGTCTCTTTCAGATGATGCTGACCCCCGCCATGCAGGGGATCATCTTGGCCATCGCCAAAGCCCGAAAGATCTTTGACCAGGACGGTCCTGAGGCGGGTCTCATCAAGGTGAGGTGTGAGCCGCAAACAGACTGAGTAGAGACGGACAAACGGGAAGTGCTTCATGTCACTCTGGCTCCTGTTGAGTTATTCTGAAAAGTGACCTCCTCTCGCTCTGTAAACGTTTGTCACACTCATTTTGGGCCCGTGGTAATAACGCAGTCGGAACAAATGCCCATATAAGGAAATGGACCCCAGATTATGTCCAAATCTGTCAGACTCTGTCAGTCCACTCCTATTGTACAGAATAAGGGCTGCAGCTAATGTTTTATCATTCTATTCCAGTCTAGCAGTGATTCAGTGCATCAATATTTTTACATTTATTATAAGAATATGTTTGACTTAAGCTAAAGATGCAGAACATCTCGTTACGCTAACAGTTTTTATCCACAGGCTGTTATCAGTGTGAACAGAGCACTTTAATGATTTGCACTTGTTTTGAAACTGTTTTAGTCGATCGATTTCACAGTGACATTTGTTTACTGTTTTATTTGTTTTATTGTTGTCTTTTAATGTTGTTTTATGTCTGTATTTGTCTGTGCACACTGGAAACTTTTGCTAATGTATTCCTATGTGGTTTTACTGCAAATGGCAAATAAACTGAATCTGAATCTGAAGATGCACTAGAGGCCATTGAGACCAATTACTGTAGTTAAACATTGTTTTGGAGAATCATATGGCATTGATTTATATTTGGTGATTTGCAATTTATGTTCTTCAGCACTAGTGGTTCTTCTGCTGATGTGGCCTGAAATGCTGCAGAAAGTAAAACATGTTTTGAACAAGAAAACTGAATTAATCTTCTCCATTTTCACACATGGATGAAATGAGTGTTTTGCCGTCAAAAACAAACTTAATATCAATAAATGTTATTTAAAAGCGCCTTTCGAAACGCCCAAAGACACTGTACAAACATGGTTAAAACTGCAATTAAAAACGCCCACAATTGTAAACTGCTTTGTGACTCTGGTCTGTGAAAGGCAGTGTATGAACAAAGATTACTTATTTACTGACAATATGCGGCTGTGAAATATTGCGCTGGTGTTTGAAGGACCTCCGTTGGTAAAACCGATGTCTGTGCCCAGGCCTTCCATGAGGAGTACAACCGTCTGTACGAGCTGTCGCAGGAGGAGGGCAGCCTCGCGGAGGACGCCCGGCTGCAGCACTGCCTCGTCTACTTCTTCCAGAACAAGACGCCCAAACGCATCATCGAGAGGACGCTGCTGGAGCAGTTCACGGACCGTAACCTCAGCTTCGACGAGAGGTTTGTCCACGTTTGTCCAGAGATGTCAGAATGAAACACACAACATGCTTCTCTTTGCTCGACAGCAGCGGGTCACACTCTTTTAGGTCAGGACTTTAAAAACATCATCGCTGGTTGTGGAAAAGCGGTTTATTTTTTCATCATTCGTTTTTGTATTTTCACAATTTTATTTGACATGAGTTTGGATGACACTTTCTAATAGATTTGGATCCAATCACAACTCGGCTAATTATAAACAAATATGTAATTGAAGATTTGTTGTTAAAAATAATAATAAATCTTTGTCATAACTTAATTTATAAATACATGTTTGTTACTTGGTGGTTTTTCCTGAGAAAGTAAGCTTTAAAATGCTTATAATTCAATGTCTTCAAGGGTTCCGCTCCTGTCGTTGGTGATAGTGGGTGTTTGCTGCCACCTAGTGTTAGGTTTATAACATGCATGTGTAAAGATCGAGTGGTTTCTCCCAACTTTTCTTTTATGGTCACAAACATTGGATTGAATCTGTGTGAGAACTCTTTGGAGTACAACAAAATGGGCTTGACCTCTGACTCCTTTACTCTCTTTATGAGTGGCAACAATCACTGTTATCTGCCTTCACAGTGGCTGACATGTTCCTTGGTAAATATAACCTCTGCTTTAGCTTTCTGGGGTGAGCTCTGTGGCTGTAGAATGTTCACTACACTAGTAAAGACATACATAATACTATATATGAATATCAGTGTTCACCTGAGGCCTCACACCAGGGAACAGGTGCTTTTTGGGTAATGTAGTTCTGAATGATTTCACTGATTAACTGTATAGATTCAAAACCTCAGAATGAGCTCTCCGGCACATCTGTCATTCTCAAACTGCCTCAGCACACAGTCTGCTGGGACGTATGGAGAACAGAAAACCAGTAGAACAAGTATTGTTTTGTGTCTGTGTCTTTACCATTAAACAAACACCAAAAACTCACACATGTGGAAACACTGCTGCTGGATCAGGGTCATCACCAAAAAAGGTTAAACATCTCATAATAAGATCATTTAGGATAAGATTTTTGTTCCACAGTGGGGAAATTTCAATGTCATCATCGGGAGCAGCAGAATAAAAGGAAGGAAATAAGCAGGATCTATAATAAAACATAATAATGATATCAATAACAATAATAATAGCTAACATCTCTGGAGCTATAATCGCACTTGGATCAGAGGTATTTACAGATGTGTGTATTGTCATTTAACAGCAGAGAATATGAGCAGAATTAACAATAGTAACAACAGCAGCAGGTAAAGTCACTGGTGAATGACAGAAATATCATAATTACGAGATAAAGGCGTTTTTATCATAACAATCTCCTCCTGTAATGGTCCCAATCCATCCCAGAATGTTTGATTTCACTGGAAATCATAAGTATTCACCTGAAGAAGATGACAAAGTCTGGGATCGTGTTTTTAATTCAGACAGAAGACATGTTTTATTAATGCATCGGTTTTATACAGCGCTTTTTTGGACACTCAAAGACACTTTACATGTTAGAGGTGATAAACTACTACTGTAGCCACAGCTGCCCTGGGGCACACTGACAGAAGCGAGGCAACCAGTCTGTGCCATCAGCCCCTCCCACCACCACCAACCATTCACACACACACCAGACTCATTCTAGGCAATGGGGGTGAAGTGTCTTGCCTAAGGACACAACGACAGCAGACAGTGGGAGTCGGTGGTGAAAGTCGGGCTCGAACCCACGACCTTCTGGCTCAAAGGCCAATGCTCTACCAACTGAGCCGATGGTAGAGACAGCACCAGTAGCTTTAACCTGGAGATACCAAAACATGCAGTGGAAAAGTATGTTAGAACTTTAACCACAGTGTCATGAAATCTTTATTTTAATCATTTATACGTCCATTTATACGTGAATTAAATGGTTTTATTTTGTCTTTTGGCTGACGTAAATACAAACTATGCTGGTTCTAAATGTGACATAACCCATGTATCAGTTGTAGAGGTTGTGCTACATATTTTCATGGTGTCTTTGGGGATACATTGTGACATTTTGCATCTTGTATCAAATGAATGTTATGTCTCTGTCCACACAGAGCCATCAGTATCATGAGAGAGGCCAGAGCCAAGCTGCGACTGATCAAACCTGAAGACATGGACATGGATGAATACCTGGTACTAGAATATTCATGATAATAATAATAATAATGTAAAAGTCCCTTCATGTTTGAGCCTGATGGATCATTAGAGTAAATCTGTTGTTTCTCTCACAGCGGTGGCATGAGGACTACAAAATGTTCAAGACCGTGTTCGTGTACCTCCTCACCGGCCTGGAGCACTACCAGAATGGAAAGTAAGTCTCATTTACAGAGTGTCGTGGGATTTACAGAGGCCTTTGTCACGTTTACGGCCACAAATATTTGAACCCATTTTGGAAAGACCGCAAGAAAGTAACAGGTTGATAAATACTGCGTCATATTCGTTCTTAAAGGTACTTACGAAGGTCATTTTTACAGTTGCTCCAAAGGAAAAAAAACATATTAATCGATAACAAATGTGACCTTTTAAGAGAATTTACCTTCACCATGTTTTTGAATTGTTGTTATCGGTTTAGAATTTGACTTACCGTAATTTTCGGACCATAAGCCGCAAGTTTTTTCCTGCGTTTTGAAGACTGCGGCGTACAGCAAGGTGCGCTTAAGGATTTTATTTTTTTTATTTCTGTGGCGCCAAAGATATTTTGCCAAGTAACAGTAGACCAACCAAATAGAAGAATAGTTCAGAGGTCCAATTACATTTTAAGACAGTTTAAAGTGTAATAATCCTCACTTATAATGTGTTTGTGTAAATATCTCATATCAATGTTTTTGGTTGTTTGTGCAGACATGGAAAGATTCAGAACAGTCAATGACTCACTTCTCACTCTTATCACAGTCAAAGACATTTTTGAGCCACATTTTTAAACATTACAGTGTGGAACAGGTGTGGCTTATAATCCAAATACAAAGTTCCATTTCTTCCTAAATATTGGAGCCTGCAGCTTATAAAACGATCAAATGTCCATGAGAGCTGGAGGACTCTGCCTGTCACTGCGTATTCTAATACAGTGGTTGATAAGGGACAAAAAGGATGATGAGCGGGAGTGTGGGGGCCGCTGTCAGAGGCCCTCACACCTGGATATGATGTCAACAGTAGATGGGAGTAAAAACTACAGTGTACCTTTTTAAAGAAAGTATCTCATTGAGCGTAAAAATCTTGTTGAACGTGATGTTTTTTGTTTTGACACAGAATGAGAGAAGCTCTGACGTACCTGGCCCACGCCTACGACACCAACAGCACTCTGCTGAAGAGCGGCGCCAAACGGGGAGTGGACGATTCCCTCATTGCAGTTTATCGGAGGAAATGCCTCACAGTGAGTCACAACAACACCTGTGCCTGCATGTAGACACCTGTACCTGCGCGTGAACACCTGTACTTGCATGTGAACACCTGTACCTGCATGTGAACACCTGTACCTGCATGTGGACACCTGTACACACAGTGCCTTGCAAAAGTATTCGCCCCCCTTGAACCTTTCAACATTTCGCCACATTTCAGGCTTCAAACATAAACACATATTTTTTGTCATGAATCAACAACAAGTGGGACACAATCGTGAAGTAGAATGACATTTATTGGATAACTTTAAACTTTTTTAACAAATAAAAAACTGAAAAGTGGGGCGTGCAATATTATTCGGCCCCTTTACTTTCAGTGCAGCAAACTCAGTCCAGAAGTTCAGTGAGGATCTTTGAATGATCCAATGTTGTCCTAAATGACTGATGATGATAAATAGAATGCACCTGTGTGTAATCAAGTCTCCGTATAAATGCACCTGCTCTTTGATAGTCTCAGGGTTCTGTTTAAAGCGCAGAGAGAACCATGAAGACAAAGGAACACACCAGGGAGGTCCGAGATACTGTTGTGGAGAAGTTTAAAGCCGGATTTGGATACAAAAAGATTTCCCAAGCTTTAAACATCTCAAGGAGTACTGTGCAAGCAATTATATTGAAATGGAAGGAGTATCAGACCACTGCAAATCTACCAAGACCCGGCCGTCCCTCCAAACTTTCATCTCAAACAAGGAGAAGACTGATCAGAGATGCAACCAAGAGGCCCATGATCACTCTGGATGAACTGCAGATAACTACAGCTGAGGTGGGAGAGTCTGTCCATAGGACAACAATCAGTCGTGCACAAATCTGGCCTTTATGGAAGAGTGGCAAGAAGAAAGCCATTTCTCAAAGATATCCATAAAAAGTCTGGTTTAAAGTTTGCCACAAGCCACCTGGGAGACACACCAAACATGTGGAAGAAGGTGCTCTGGTCAGATGAAACCAAAATCAAACTTTTTGGCCACAATGCAAAACGATATGTTTGGCGTAAAAGCAACACAGCTCATCACCCTGAACACACCATCCCCACTGTCAAACATGGTGGTGGCAGCATCATGCTTTGGGCCTGCTTTTCTTCAGCAGGGACAGGGAAGATGGCTAAAATTGATGGGAAGATGGATGGAGCCAAATACAGGACCATTCTGGAAGAAAACCTGTTGGAGTCTGCAAAAGACCTGAGACTGGGACGGAGATTTATCTTCCAACAGGACAATGATCCAAAACATAAAGCCAAATCTACAATGGAATGGTTCACAAATAGACGTATCCAGGTGTTAGAATGGCCAAGTCAAAGTCCAGACCTGAATCCAATCGAGAATCTGTGGAAAGAGCTGAAGACTGCTCTTCACAAACGCTCTCCATCCAACCTCACTGAGCTCCAGCTGTTTTGCAAGGAAGAATGGGCAAGAATTCCAGTCTCTCGATGTGCAAAACTGATAGAGACATACCCCAAGCGACTTGCAGCTGTAATTGCAGCAAAAGGTGGCGCTACAAAGTATTAGCGCAAGGGGGCCGGATAATATTGCACGCCCCACTTTTCAGTTTTTTATTTGTTAAAAAAGTTTAAATTATCCAATAAATTTTGTTCCACTTCACGATTGTGTCCCACTTGTTGTTGATTCATGACAAAAAATTCAATTTTTATATCTTTATGTTTGAAGCCTGAAATGTGGCGAAATGTTGAAAGGATTTAATACTTTCGCAAGGCACTGTACCTGTGTGTAGACACCTGTAAGGCAAGGCAAGGCAAGGCAAGTTTATTTGTATAGCACAATTCATACACAAGGCAACTCAAAGTGCTGAACAAAATAAGAAAGCATTAAAATCATAAATAATCACAGTACATAAAAAAAAAAATTAAAAACAAGATAAAAATATAAAATCCCTCAGTTGTAGCACAGCTAAACAGAACTGTCTTTAACCTGGTTTTAAACATTGTCAGAGAGGAGGCCTGTCTCACATCTTCAGGAAGACTGTTCCAGATTTTAGCAGCATGAATCTGAAAAGCAGCCTCCCCATGTTTAGTTCTGACTCTGGGCACTAACAGGAGTCCAGTCCCTGTGCTCCTCAGAGTCCCAGCAGGAGTCCAGTCCCTGTGCTCCTCAGAGTCCCAGCAGGAGTCCAGTCCCTGTGCTCCTCAGAGTCCCAGCAGGAGTCCAGTCCCTGTGCTCCTCAGAGTCCGGGCTGGTTCATATGGGATTAACATGTCACTAATATATTTTGGTGCGAGGCCATGGAGAGACTTGTAACAAGCAGAGCTGTTTTAAAGTCTATTCTCTGAGCCACAGGAAGCCAGTGCAGAGACCTGAGGACTGGACTAATGTGGTCGTACTTCCTGGTTCTAGTCAGGACTCGAGCTGCTGCATTTTGAATGTACTGCAGCTGTTTTACAGCCTGTTTGGACAGACCTGTGAGCAGGCCATTGCAGTAGTCTAACCTACTGGAGACAAATGCATGGATAAGAATCTCCAAGTCTGCTTTAGACACTATGTTTTTGATCCTGGCAATGTTTTTTAGATGGTAACAAGCTGCTGATGTTACTGATTTGATGTGGCTATTAAAACTTAAGTCTGAGTCCAGTATTACCCCTAGATTTCTGACCTTGTTTGAAGGTTTTAGGGAGAGAGACTGTAGATGACAGATGACGCTCTCTCTTTGTTTCTGGGGACCAAAGACAATCATTTCAGTTTTGTCTGCGTTTAGCTGAAGGAAGTTGTTTTGCATCCACTCACTGATCTGTTGGATACAGTGAAGGAGTTAGTCCACTGGTCCATGTTCTCCAGTCAGTGAGACATAGATCTGAGTGTCGTCTGCACCTGTACCTGTCTGTACCTGCATGTAGACACCTGTACACCTGCACCTGTGTGTGAACACCTGTACCTGCATGTAGACACCTGTACCTGCATGTGAACACCTGTACCTACCCCTTCCACAGCTATATTGTGGCTATTATGTGTCTGGCACAGATTTATCAGTGTTCGGGGGGTCGAACACTGATCACAACAGTAATTATCTCGAAGGACAAAACGTAGGAATTGCCAACACAGAGAATCAAACAGTTCAAGCTCAAAAAATGCAATGTTAACACATAGAGCCATGGGTCCATGAGGGACAGATGACCAATGTCCATAAATGTTGTTGAATATGGAGTATCCTGGATCATCCCTGTCCTCAGACCCACCTGCATCAGCAAGGAACAACTGTCATTAAAAAACCCAGTGGGAAAAGGTGGGAAACCTCGCTCGTGCTGTAGATCCAGGACTCAGGCTGTAGATCCAGGACTCAGGCTGTAGATCCAGGACTGGGGCTGTAGATCCAGGACTGGGGCTGTAGATCCAGGACTCAGGCTGTAGATCCAGGACTCGTGCTGTAGATCCAGGACTCAGGCTGTAGATCCAGGACTCAGGCTGTAGATCCAGGACTCAGGCTGTAGATCCAGGACTCGGGCTGTAGATCCAGGACTCAGGCTGTAGATCCAGGACTCAGGCTGTAGATCCAGGACTCGGGCTGTAGATCCAGGACTCGTGCTGTAGATCCAGGACTCGTGCTGTAGATCCAGGACTCGTGCTGTAGATCCAGGACTCAGGCTGTAGATCCAGGACTCGTGCTGTAGATCCAGGACTCAGGCTGTAGATCCAGGACTCAGGCTGTAGATCCAGGACTCGTGCTGTAGATCCAGGACTCAGGCTGTAGATCCAGGACTCGTGCTGTAGATCCAGGACTCGTGCTGTAGATCCAGGACTCGGGCTGTAGATCCAGGACTCGGGCTGTAGATCCAGGACTGGGGCTGTAGATCCAGGACTGGGGCTGTAGATCCAGGACTCGGGCTGTAGATCCAGGACTCGGGCTGTAGATCCAGGACTCAGGCTGTAGATCCAGGACTCGTGCTGTAGATCCAGGACTCAGGCTGTAGATCCAGGACTCAGGCTGTAGATCTAGGACTCGTGCTGTAGATCCAGGACTCAGGCTGTAGATCCAGGACTCGTGCTGTAGATCCAGGACTCGGGCTGTAGATCCAGGACTCGGGCTGTAGATCCAGGACTGAGGCTGTAGATCCAGGACCTGGGGCTGTAGATCCAGGACTGGGGCTGTAGATCCAGGACTGGGGCTGTAGATCCAGGACTCGTGCTCCAGCTTATTGCCATCAAGGCTAAGGCAGTGCCTGTTTCCAATTCATTTTTCCAGACCTACACATGTGTGCCAATCTGTTTTTTCAGTGTCTGGTTGAACCTTTCAAAATCACCCCTTGTGATTGCGGGTGCAACACTGCTCCAAAATGCTGTTTTTATATTCAGCCTCTCACATAGTTGGCCATTGTCTGGTTCTTAAAATGCGAGCCGTTATGCAGATCTGATAACTCTCGCTGGCCGTACCTTGGAAAGATCTCTGTCAAGAATACTTTGGCTACTGATTCTGCATTTGCTTTTGCCAAGGAAAAGCTTCAGCCATCGTGTGAGTGGGTCAATCATTGTGAGCACGTATCTACACCCATCCGCTTTCTTATCAGGCAGTCATGTCGATGAAATCAATTACGATTTCTGCCATGGGCCATGGAGGCACTGGGTATGCTCCTATGCCTGCCTTCACAGCCCTTGCCTTAGAGAGCCCTTGACATATGTCACATGAGTCACATAGATGCTGGATGGTTGGTAGCATAAAAGGATGGAACATGTGCCGTCTTAGTTCTGAAAAAGTTTTGAGCACTTTATGTGTGTTTCCTCATGCTTACTTTGAATGATCTGTAGTAGTTTTTTAGTAGTCACGCACGGTTTACAAATGTATCATAGAATACTCCTTCACTGTTTTTAATTGGCCCCTGCAGTTTTCCATGCTGTCACATCATACAGTGAGGGATTTTCTTGCAATATGTGTGGACTGTTCTCTTCCTTTCTTCCACTGGTGCCTCTGTTCCCTCAGGATTGTCTTCAATAACTGCCTGCAGAGCCGTACCTATCCTGTCATACCCAGCTGTCATTTTAGCAACTCTATCAGCAAACTCATTGCCCTTTGC